TCCCGGACCCGGTGGCTTAAAACTCACGCCAGGCGTGTGTGCGTGTGTGCCCAAGATCCCGAGAGGAGAATGGAGGAGAAGGGATTGTGGCGTGGCCATCCTCCCTGAGGGGTGATTTCTCGCTTTATGTCTCTATGTCTCTATCTGTCTGGCGAGCGCACACACCCTATAGCAAAAAAAAAAAAAAGAAAAAGAAAGAAAGAGCACCCAGCCCTTTCTGAGACAGAACACACCCCTCTCCCCCATCACTGCCTCCTCCAAGGCCCTCGCTGAGGGTCCCAGCCAGCCTCTGAGAAGATCCTCAGTCACCCCTGGCATCTGAGGTGGTGCTGTAGCCCACAGGGGAGGAGAAGGGGGGAAGGCTCCACCCCAGAGCCACAGTGAAAACAGGCATGGAGACCCAACGGTGGCCTGGTGGTCGGAGCCGGGAGCGAAGCAGGCCTGCTGGGACCAGCCAGTGCTTATCTGAGTCCATAAAACATTCATGTTTCTGAGTAAGTCACAAAGCACAATTTTAGCAGAAACGCATAAGGAAGAGCAGATGTCGGGGCAGCAGGTGGCGTGGTGGGGCATGGTGGTTAAGGCGCTGGGTTTCCACATGGCCAACCTCAGTTTGAGTCCCAGACCTGGTGGCTTGAACATCACAACCACTAAGTAGACTCATTAATTAACTAATTACAAAAGAAGAAAGGCAGATGCGGACCCGCAGGCCAGGACATGCAGCGACCCAGGCAGAACCTGAGTGTCCCTCCCCCGGCATCCACAGGCAGCCCCAGCACACATGCTGTGCGGCTGCTGCTTCGCTGCCTCCCGGCCGAGGTCACCCAGCAGACCGTGCCTGTCAGAAGCCTGGTCTCACCACTGTGCAGCATCCGGGCAGAGGACACGGGTCTCTAAGTGCCATGGCTGCTGTCCGTGCCATCGTGGGGCTCACAGACAGGGGCTCTGCCCAGGCTGTGGCAGACGCGGGGTCTCAGTGGTCCAGGGCAGGAGAGCCCCTGCGCCACCCACACATGCCGTCTCCTCCCGATCCGTCTCTAAACGCAGCACCTCAATATCCTGGGAGGGGCAGGTGTCAGCCCTGCTCTGACACCCCAAGGTGGAGAGCCGGCCTGCGACAAGGAGAGTGGGCACCCTGAAGGCCCTGCCTCTGGATGAGGCAGAGCCCACCCCAGCCTATGAGCAGGGCTGAGATGGGGTGGGCCGGACCGACTGCCTCTCTGCACCTGCCGGCCCCGCCTCCTGGAGCAGGTGGAGGGTTACACGCTGCCGTGGAGCCTTGGCAGCTGGCCTCAGCCGTGCCCACAGAGGCCAGCTGCTGGGAGGAGATGCTCTGGGATGCCTATGTGCCTACGGCCACTTCTACGAGGGAGAGAGAGAGTGGGGGCTTGAGCTGGAGCCTCTGCCCAGAGCCCTGCCCCTTCCCCATGGGAGCCCCCAGTCCAGGGGCAGCTTGCAGGCCCTCTCAACTGCAAGACCCTCAGGCCCCCAGTTAAAGAGCCTCAGGCCTGCGGGAGGTGGGCTCCTGGCCACAGAGCACACTGCTTCTGCTGACTGAGGCGCCCTGGAGTCTGGAGGGAGCCCTCAGTGGCTGCTTAGTACCTTCTGACCCTGCCGCCAGTGCCTGGGAGGCATGCTTTTTTTTTTTTTGTCTGTGGAGTTGTGTGTGTGTGTGTGTGTGTGTGTACGTGTGTACACAGGTGTGTATGTGTGCATGTGAGCACATGTACGTGTGTGTGTGCATGTGTGTAAAGAAGAGCGAGACTCAGCAGCAGCAGGACCTGTGTTAAGCCCATCTCCCAGGCCCACCTGAAAACCCGTGCACAGCGAAGGCGCGAGGGTCCGGGAAGAGGGCTGCCGGCCTCAGCAAAGTTCCAGCCTGCTGCCACGCACCCAGACCCCGGGGCAGGGCCCTCTGCTGGGCCACGCTTGAGCATTTCAGGGTCTGCTCAGGATACCCCGTGCCACATCCTTCTGCCCAGGGACACTGAGGACAGGAGGGCTTTCCTGCCAGGCCCAGCCCCCAGAAGGAGGGCAGAGGGCCGCCAGGTTTTCACAGGAAGCAAGCGGGGACGTGTGCTCTCCTGGGGGCCCAGCCGCTCTGTTCCCGAGGCTCGCCCAGCCCCACATGGCCAGCCCGTGTGTATCAGCGGAGTGAATTCCTGGGGACCCTGTGTGAGAGTGTATGTGCGTGTATAAGTGTGAATAAGTGAGTGACGGAATGAGTGTGCGTGTGCTGAGTGTGTGTGTAAGAGGAGTGGGTGTGAATGAGCGTGTGAGTAACAGAAGGACTGTGTGCATGTACTGAGTGTATGTAAGAGGAGTGGGTGTGAATGAGCGTGCAAAGGTGTCCTGAGTGTGCTGTGTGTTTCGAGTGTTGTGAAAATGTACGAATATGCATGTGAGGGCACTTTCCTCCTGGTTCCCACGGGGACCCAGAGAGGTCAGGGTTCCACAGTTACCACCATCCTGACCCTTTCTCCAAAGTGGGGAGCCGTGACCTTCATTTCTCAGCACCTCCACCCCACTGCTGTCCCTAGGGTCTCGGAGCCAAGCGCCTGGCCAGGGCCACCCCCGCAGCTGACCTGGGGACAAGGCCTTCACCCCCAGCCTCGGCTCACCCTCTGCACTCCACCCACAGGACAGGCTGGGTCAGACAGTGAGGCGCCAGTGCAAATGGCCAGCAGCCCTCCCCATCGGGGTCCAGTCAGCACAGGGACACCAACGGGTGTGCCTTAAACTCAGGCTGGGCCCCAAAAGCAAGTCTGCAGGGCTGTGGACATCGGCATGAGAAGTCCAAGTACAAGATCCGTGTCCGTCAGACACCCCCAGAGCACACACTCGGAGAGCCCCTACTGCTTCCAACCATGTCCACCAACACAAGATCACGTGTGCTTGCCAGCCATACAGGAACACACCAGCCCACAGCAGAGCCAGCGTTCTGGCCCAACCTCTTCCACTGGCCTCTGGGACCTTGCTGGGTCTGAGAGCAGAGGATGGTGGGGCGCTGAGGCTCAGGGCGCTGGCCCCAGAGGGGCCAGACTCCAAGCACCCAAGGGGTGGGCTGCTGGCCACAGGGCCAGGCGCTGAGTCTGAACTGGGAGCATCCAAGGCGCTGCCCCGCCCTGGGGCCTGTTCCAGGTGCTGTACCCCCAGCCCGGCTGCACCAGGGTTCCCCACAGTGCTCCGGCCTGCCCACGTGCCGGAGACCTCACAAAGGGAGGGGAAGAAGGAGGACAGCTCCAGTCCCTGTTGTGCAAGGAAACATAAAACCCAGGCCCAGGGTCACTGGGCACAGCCTTCCGAGCCTCCTGGCCCCATGCTCTGGTGCTCTCCAGGTCCAGACCTCCAGAAAGCCTCCCAGGGGCCCTCCTGTCCGCCAGGCGGCCGAACCTCGGTGGAGTGCCACTGGGTATCCTTGCTGGGTCCATCCCACCTACCGCAGGAGTGGGCTCCGGGATAGGCCTGCCATGGTGGCCGAGGCGCCCCTCAGGCTGTGGCAGGGGCGGCAGGGGTGGGGCCGGCGGCCACTTAGAG